TTTGCCTTATGAACTAAATACAGGGGAAGAGGCCACTTTTGGAGAATTGACAATGATTGTTCTGGGTTAATTGTCGTTGCATTAATTACTAGGTGAATGTTGCTTGAATCTAAGACAAACATTGAGATAGATTCTGTTTTATGGAATAGACTTAGTTTCATTTTGCTGGGAGAGTTGATCTGATCAGTCATGTTTTCCCTTTATGTGTACTTGGGACTTTAACAGCAGTATTCTACAACAAACAACCTACTAAGTTCTGAATATAGGAATCTTGAAGTTGTCTTTAAAATGGATGCCCCCAGATTTAAAAAAAAATTTTTTTTTAAGGTGGCAGATTTTAAAAGGTACCTGAGTGAAGACAAATGCTCTGTTAGTAAGCAAATCAGAATTGTACTGGCCTTAAAAGTCCCAGAACTGTTTTTCAGTAATGAGTATGTAAATATTTATTTTACTCTAATAAAAACATTCTGAAAACTGAGTCATTATTAAAAATAATGGCATGCACATAAAATAAAAATATTGGTTTTATAATCTGTCAAGAAATGTATTTTCCAGTGAGTTCATAGTAAATATCAGACAGACCCTTACCTATATTATATCTTTGTTTTCTCTTTTGTTAAGAAGTCATTATATGAAATACTTGAAATTAATTTGTAGGTTTTACACAGGTTCTATATTTTCACTCTACAGTTCTGAACATAAAAATGGCTGAAGTCAGGTTAATTACTGATTTTGTTGTTTTAAAAGCCAGACAGATCAAGTCTATACAAAAGTTTGGATTAGGTTTAATTATAGAGAGAGTGATTGAAAACCCTTGGAGGGAGGAGGGATGTTTGTGTAGAAATTTAAATTCTGATCCTGTTAGGTCATTTACCCCTTTAGCAGGTTTTCTTTGTAACACTGCACTGCAATCCCAATTGCAATTAAGTAACTGTGGATGTCTGTTAATGTCTGTCTTCCTCTAAAATGTAAGTTTCTTGAGGGCAAGGGATAATACTGCCAATTTCTTCTCTGAGGTATCCTTGACATTAAGAATAGTGTCTTCAAATGTCAAAAGCACCAAATAGTGTTGAATAAATCAAGATGTTAGACTCAAGGGCATTTTTTCAGTGTGAAATTTTTTTTTCAATGACCTCCAAAATAAGAACTTTGGAAGTTTGAGTTCCATATTCTCTAGCCTAGGTGTATTTCAAAAATAACCGATAACAACAAAACAGTAATCATTATTTATTTGTCATTCTATGTGTCAGTCACTGTGTTCAGCACTTTATATATATTTTCTCTAATTCTCCCAACAATTCTGCAAGGTAGTGATTTATGTTTTTTTCTCCATTAAAGAAATAAGAAAACTCTGACTAGTTAAGTAACTTTGCCCAGGGTTACAGTACTAGCTGAATTTCTAACAAAGATATCTCTGCTTAAAACCTGTAGTGGAAGATGAAAGATACATTTTTTTTCACTGTCACAGATTGCTTTCTTGATTTAGGGTAGAATGCTACAGATTTAGGGAACAGCATTACATAATCAGGTATAACAGACTGTAAAGATTGATCAGCTATGCAGTTTTAACCATTGGTGCACCCTATGCTTATACACTCCATTTTAACAGATTACAGATATGTGTGTGGTGTGGGAAAGACAAACTTCAGGAGGGAAAGTTGGAAGCCTAAAATAATGGAGAAGCCTTGTTTCTTGAGATTTTTTCCTTCCGGAAATTTGTTTTATCACTTAAGTTTTGAAATTAGACATTGTAGTTGTGAACAATTTCTGTATGAAATGTTGCTGAACTTTAAGCTACTCTGTATGCCACACTGCCACAGAAAGATTAACTGGCACCTGCAAATAGATGAGTTGTGATACTGCTTTTTCTTAAACTAATTTCATCTTTAAAATTGTGTAATAGCACAGAAGGATGAATCTGCTGTAAAGCAACATTGAACATAAGGTACACATACTAAACAGTGATATTAAGTAAACTTGTCAGAAACTACAGAAATCTAACTGTGCATCTAACCTGGGGCTCTGAAAAGTAACTTTGGTTTTTAAACTATGAAAACAACATATACTCATTTTTCAGTGGTTAAAGTCTAAAGATCATTTAAATGCTCCTCCATATAGATGATCATGCTTATACATGAAATAGAATTTAGTCGAATTCTGGTCATTTAGGAAAAACAGTAAGTAAATACTACTCCATATAAAAGAGAGTTTGTAGAGATTAGTATCTACTGGCATTTTTATTATTTTATTATTAAGTTGCCCCTAAAAATGATAAACTTTTCTTCTTCCTTCCTTCCTTTCTGAAGGCAATAAAGTTAAGACAAGTGAAGTAATACAAATCTCTTCAGAAACTTGATTGCATTAATGCAGTTAATGCAATTCAAGATTTCTAAAACTAATGAAGGATATCTTTATGGGGATGAAATTTTCTATAAGATATTAAATTGACTCTTCCCTTCCCAATCCCCAGGATATTTCCTCCAAAATACTTGTATCTAATATGTCATCTTAGCTATGGGAGCTTTTCTTTTGATTGATCTCTTTTCCATTATTTTAGAAGTATCCAAAAAATGATATTTTGAAGGAACAGACCTGAAGAAAAAAAGCGTAAGATGTTGAGAGTTAAATTTTAGTATTGTTTATCTACAGGTTTATTACTCTTAGAAATAGTATTAGTGTATTTTGAAATGTGTTTCTTCAGAGCTATG